ATATCGATCACTTATTTCGTAATACATTGTACTATAAAATTAAGTGCCATAACAAACAACGATGTAAATAATAATAAAAAAAAGAAAAAAAAATACAATAATAAAGTTTAATTAATACGATACACCATAACCGTATTTATAAGTGTGAAGACAATTTTTTTCCTAAGAAAAATATCAATATGTATTATCACACACACTTTAAGAACGAAATCATGCATTTTAAGTACGAAACCATTGTAAACAAAAAAAAACAAAACAAAAAATATATAAGAATTATGGTAATTCCCTGACTCATCTATACTTTATATCTTCTCTCTCTCTCTCTCTCTATATATATATATATATAGAACCATTTATTTTGAAAGTAGCCTAAGTCCACTGAAATATTATTTTTGTCGTTGAACGTAATAACATTTGTAAAGTAAACTGTAATTAAAAAAAAAACATTTCGTGGAATAAAATAAAAAAATGAAGTTAGTTATCACTATCAAAATAAATGGACTCTTATAAATATATAATATATGTAATATATATTTATATATTTATATAACATTGTAAAATAATTAATAATATAATACGATGTGAATTGTTCTGCTTGAAAATATATATATATATGTATTGTTGATGTTGAAAATGGTTTAATCGGAATCATCGTTATCGTCAGTTGAAGTATACTTTTTACTTTTGGATGATTTTTTTTTACATTGTGCTCCCTTATTACTCGAATACTTCCATCTTTTTTCATCACGATCCTGTTGACATCCGGTTGCGAAAAATTCTATGCTCGTACCATGCTCGTCTATTTTATCATTGTTATATAAATTTCTAACATTGACGGTATAAGTGCAATCTTGTTTAAGATGACGTAAATCATAGTGAGGAGTCTGTGAAATAAAAATAATCTCGATACTTGGAATAATAAATCGTTCGAGTAGTTACAATCGATTAAACGTCAATATATATATATATATATATATATATATAGATATGAATGTGTGAACTGTAAGTAGTTAAAACAAATATATGGTCAGACGATATCTCACATTCGTGTATAAAAATAAATATCTTTTTATTTTAGTTTATCAATAAGACAAATACTACAAATGACTTACTGTTAGTTATTTATTAAATCAATAATGTTCTTTAGAAGACTTACTGTTAGTTATATAAAACAAACGAATATAATTTATTGATACGCGATATTAATGATTCAAAACAATTTAAACTTATTATATATAATATAATGAAATATATTATTTTGAATGTGTTCAATTATTATTATCGTCTTAACCTTGTATTTAATTATAAATATTATTTTAATATTATTATAATCTATATAACACGAAATATTATTTTGTCAAGTTATTGATAAATTAATTTTGCTTTTTATATATACATACACATACACATATGTATATATATATATATATATTAAATAAAATATTTGTACGTGGAAATATGTGAATAATAATTCGAATGTGAATAAAATGATTATATTATATTACCTGAATAACTTTCCACAGTAATCTTTTTTTTGTTTCAATTGTATCATCGTAAATGGACGAACATGATTCTTCTTTCCAACTGACGTTATACATTTTTGCATCTTGATTCATCGGCCATACCAAACGTACCTTAACATCACCGCAATGACAAATCATTTTTCTTACGTGAAGACCACCTTGATACCTTTCGCATCTGCGAGATCGTCTCCCGATGTCGGCTTCAATTCAAAGTACACATTTCTTCGATCATTTATTTTACATATTTTTTCTTCTTTCTATTTTTTTTTTCTTTTAATTATTCGTTTCGTAAGAAATTATTTAAGAGTTAAGATGAAGAAGAAGAAGAAGAAGAAGAAAATAAAACAACGATAAACAAAAAATAAAAT